CGTACTTTTAATTGGTGAATGTATGATAAGGCAGAACTAAGTGATCATAGCATCTGAAAACCAGTATAACAAGCTAATTTGATGAAAATACAATACTGCACTTACATCCAAGAACTAAAGTAAGCTGAACAATGAGCTCCTTATCCAACTTAGTAAGAGTAGTTAAAATACGACTGGCAGGCTGTGGACTTCATGGGAGAGTGGCAATTCCCAAGACATTTCTTCGACAACAAAGCAAGTGCAAACGTTTAGCATGGACTAAACAATACGGAAATTTCGATTTTGAAGACTGGAAGAAAGCCTTGCTTACAGACCAAACCGCAATCCCATCGAGACTATCCTGGGGACCATGTGAAAATGGAGAAGATGAAAACTATCGTTACAAAACAAGACACTCTTTGGAATTTTCTGAAAGAGTGCTGGAATATTGGCAATACTCAAATTCCGCAAAAACTTGTAGAATTGGCGACATAGTGCAGGCAGTGATTAACGCAGATAGTAGAATATTTTAACTTGCAGTTAATATAAACAAACCTTCGCTGTATGGTATTTTACTCTGTTTTCGCAACTTGTTCATATTGGCAGGAAGACCTAGAGGAACGCACCCTGTCTGGAGCCCATAGTATGCATGACAATTTCCAGATTCTGACTGTGGACAAGGTACATTCCGCCGGCATCGTAGTTGGCATCGTGAGTGAGTCTTGCCATTCTCAGCCCCAAAGTACAACTGTTTAAAGAGACAATTGAAGTCATACTCTTGACTAACTTTATCCCGGAACAGTCGTGCTATCACTCCTCTTTTTGTCCTGGCCCTTCTATCTGTTTTTTACCCGCTTGTCTCATTCTTAGCCTATCACAACTTCTGACATATTTATATTCCACTCCTTAGGAGGTGCGCCCTTTTGGCGAATTTACCGTGGCCACAATATACGTTTATTAGCATACCTTAATTGAGTTACATTAGATGGCTTAGATAATAGTGTTAAATTAGGTGGTCTTGTTTGAAAATTATCAATCGAGTAAAATTTATACTAGCTTTCTATAAATAATGAAATAAGCCCGATCCTTGGTAGTGGACTCAGACTTTTTTACCCTAATATACCTGACTATCTATCAATACATTTTCCTCTGCATTAATACACACACAAACTGACCAAATATGTTCATATTCAAGTCTGAATGAAGTATGGTGAAGATGCCAGGCTTCTCCTTCAAATTGGTGATCATTTCTCCCAATGATGCCCCCTTTCTGAGTCAGACTTCTGGGGCCTACAAGACCCAGGCATTAAATTCCAGAGTAATGAAGCCAGTTTGCTTGTGATGTTGGTCTTATCTTCCGTTGGAAGCCAAATTGTCGCCTCAAAACAGCTCTGCCGTGCTCCCCGATCTATTTATGCTGGTCTGACGTTGGCAGTGATCAGAAGGATTTGTGAGCAAAATGTTAGGGTGCGCCTAGAACGGAGAGTGAAGGTATCTTACAGTGGTAGAATAAAAGCTCACGGTGCCATTGGATTTCGCCTAACCTTGTCGTCCACCAGACTTTCTTATCCCAGCTGGACCGCATTTTCGACTTCGTCTGATCAGCATCCTCGGCTCAATTCGAGACAAGGACTTCATTACATAGCTAGAGATGCCCGTGGATCGCAGAGCCGATGCTACTCTGCGATTTGATCTTTTGACCAACTGAAAAGGTATTCGTCATTACAATAGACAAATGATTCATATTCTGTATGCATTTCAACAGCATTTTAAAACCTGCAAAAGTTCATTGTGGAAAAGTTCCGCTCTTCGTCTATCAACTGCCTTAAGCGACTTATTGTGTCCAAGTTCGTAATCATCGGTACTATCAAAAACCTTCTCATAATGAATGCATGCAATGTCATTGAATGTAATGGTAAGTACATTTTTGACCCACTGACAATCGCCAATCCATATATATGCCACATTTTCCCTTGTGGACCATTGACATCCGTGGTCATGTAGGATGGTGTTGATTTATCGTCAGGATGCACAGGACGCAACTTCCAATCCCTTTGAGGATGCTGATGTGACCCCCAGGCAAGGTTGAAACCGTGCTCCAGGCAAGACGAGGAAGCCTTTCGGGAGGCAAAGCTGAGTTAAATTCAGTGGCGTCCTGAGGCCTCCTCATGTGTGGGAAAAAATCAACTACATTCTCTTAAAATCACCTTTTTATACAGGGATTGTCGATGATACATACTTATATTTGCCAATATATCCTATAAAAGTACTAATAACTGAGTAATTAGATTTTAGTTTCAAGCAGGTTTCGAGACTACCGGTAGTTTAAATATATAAGAGATGTATTGACTCTAGTTTATTTTAGATGAGTAAGGACAGATAGTTGAATTTTCCTACAATCATATGAGTAGACCTGATATTTTAAATGAATTTCACATTGCCTTGCTTCCCAAAGAGTAGTCTCGTCAAACCAGTTTTGACCCCGCCTAAAATGGTCTCATTATCACTCCAAGCGGGGCTCGAATCCGGGCTAATTGTGTACAACTTATATTCTCAACACGCCAATTATTATGCCACACTGGCCAAAGAATAAACGTTAATTCCAAGGAAGGCCAGGTCTTTTTTCTATATCTCATTCTGTGATGGAAGCCTCGATAAAGCAGTTGTATTTCCTACTATAATCAACCACATTACTTATATTTATTTTAAGTAGACGTCGAGACTATCAGATATTAAATAAGAGAAGACCCGATCTTCCTGGAAATTTACGTCTGCCCTGTGACCCAATGGCACTCGTGACATTCTGACGAGGTGGAAAATGTGTTGAGGCTATACGCTGCACTACCACAACTGG